AAGAGGCTGCTTGGGAAGCCTGACTTGGCAGCTGTTTCAGAGGTGTAGAACATGCGGCCGCCTTTGGGGGAAGTCTGCTCGTTTTCGGCATCCTCTGCTGCCCGGAAGACCTTCAGCTGCTCAGGGGGTGACTTTGCCTGCGGTGTCCGGGGAGGACCCTTCTCCCCACTCAGCTCTGAGCATCCTTTGGCCCCCACAGCAGATCCTTCCCGCTCCCACTCATTCTCCTTGCTGAGGTCATATGAGCTGCCTGTGCCTCCTGTCCGCATCTTCATCACCGGAACAAAAAACCCTCCAGTAGTCACTGTCCGTTTGAATCTGCTCTTTTCATCTTCCCCTAGAGGTGGGAAGATAGGAGGGAGTCAGTGGGAAGCAAAGCACTAGCAAGCAACCTTCTTCTGTGAGGAGCCCTCCTCAGTCCCTCCAGGGATGAGTCCTGCCCTGGTGAACACCCACATTTCCCCAAAGAGATGGGGATAGCAGGCACTCAAGACCTTCCAGGCTCCAGCCCTGGGGCTTCCTTCAAACTGGGCAGGCAGGGCTGGATAGGATGCTCTCCAGTGGAAATCACCTAGGACTTTTATTAGAGGCCCCTCTCAATCAGATACAGCCAAGTCTAGGGCTAGCATGCATTGCCCACAAAGATCACAGCTCCAGGCTTTGTTGGCTTATTGCAAGCACTTTTCACTGCTTTACACTTTTCCTTATAAACGGTCATTTTGTGCCCAGAATAACCAAGAATGAAACTGAAGCAATCCCACTGCTAATAAAGATGCAGCTAAGCACAGTGGTAACTCTCAGGTGCGTGCACCAACATAAAAGACACAGAAAAGGGTTAAAAATGCATGCACACAAAGGTGGGGGCACATGTCAGCAGCCATGGCACAAGTGTACAAAGATACACAATACAGTGAGATAGGCAAAGAACAGACCACCATATCCCTGCAGGCACGGGGGAAAGCTGAGAATGCAGAGGTGCAATCCTTCGCCCTTAATGGTGTAAGTTATTGATGTCTCACCTTCCACTGGCAGGGAACACAGCGAGTCCATGCTCTTCGCGGGCCGAATAGTTGCTTTTTCTGTGGAAAATGAGTTTTAGAAACAGGCTTCATCTCCTGCGGCTTTGCAGGTTTCAGCCCATAAAGACCACAAGCTACATATAGATGGGCATGCCAGGCAGACATCGAAGTTATTTTCCATTTCCAAGCGTTCCCCCTCTGTATCCACACCACGCAGCTTATTACCCACAACACTTATCCACACAGCTGGGGATCTGCTAGGGCTAACAACAGCTTTGCATCTGCTGGACACGTGGAAAACTATACTTAACCCAGCCAGTCAGCACCATCTCCACTGTGAAGCAGTTAAGCATCCCCAAAGCCGTTATGCGCCACTGCCCTCCCCGATCAAGTCAAGTTATTGGTTGTGGGGACTTTTTAACTAAACTGACATAAATGTCTTCTCACCTCTCATTCCTGATAGCAAATGTTAGGTTATTTTTATGTTGCGCTCCTAGGCTCTTTCGCTGCCATGAGCATACCCTGTCTCCAGCAAGCACTCCGGGAAATTTATGAGGACAGTAAGCAACCTATTTTCCTGGTCATCCTCAATGGACTTGCTTGTCCAGAAACAAGCTGCCATTTGTCACCAGACACTCTACAGGCCTGTTCCTGAGAGGTTTTGGAAGCATGTAGCTGTTACCGCTCTGAAAAGGGGAGATGGTGGGAATGTTGTTGGCAAGCAAGGCAAGTTAGTCTCTGGCAGCCCAGAAAGGGACCGTGGAGCTCTGGAAAATGTCTGGGAGCAAAGTCTGCTGTTCACAATGTTGCAAAAAGTAGGTAAGGCAGAAAGTGAGGCTTGTTGGACTTCATTTGTTTATATGATTAAGGCTTCTGGGACTGACTTTCACATGAGCATAGGAGAAACTCCAGCTACTTTTTGCATTTATATGGAGTCCTGGCTACCTTTTACGTTCATATGGCATGATGTCTTGAACACTGGCTCCGCTTTCCTACAGGAACAGAATTCAAGCTGTGGAGCTCGTGTTTTATATGACTTGCAGACTTGTATGCCTGGACACAAACTGTGTTAAAGCATGTGCTGAGTTTCAACAGCAAGTTCATCTGTTTCCTCACATTAGGCTGTAAGCAGAGAGCACACAAAAATACAACATGGCAGCACTAAAGCACTGCTTCTCAAAAGCACTACTTCAGTGTCTAAATCTCTGTGCACAGTTGTGCATTTGTGTGTCCTGCTGGTGAAAATGCACAGCGTCCTGTCACTCAGTACTGTGCTTGGAACAAGGCTCGGCCCCCAGGACCACTGGGCTCCAGTCATTCCTGGGCATCTTTGGGTTGGCACTATTTTGGGACAGAGTATTCCTTACCAGAGTGAGAAGGTGATCCCGTGATCAAAATAGGATGGAGAGCTATTTTGAGGTCTGCCATGGGCACCCTATGTGAGGCCATCTGTACATGCAAAACATGGGGGAAGGCAGGGGTCCAAAAAGAGCTGGATCCAGCATTTGGCTTCACACTCACTTCTGATCCAAGTTCAGCCTCTCTTATATGTGGTGGTAGGTAATGTTGCCAACATTAACTATTTTATTTTAAGTCTTGCAATGTTTGGTTGTGCTCCTCCAAACACCAGCTCCTGGAGTCATGAGATTATCTAAAAAAAAATCCACCTTCATCTTCTTTTTAAAAAGTAGGTTTCTTGACTTGGAGATACTAAAAAAATCTAGGACATACAAACCCCAAACACTTCTTTATGAACTCAGGTAAAAAAGGGTATACTTTCTTTTAAAAGTTGTGACTACTTTTAAGTCAACTTCATGATTTTTAGAGCTTGAGTCATCATTTCTGAACACTGGGAATTGGCACTGCCATGTGATTTTCTAGGAAGCAGAGTGTTTAAGAGATTGCAGCTCAGGAGGGGCTAGAACTTGGGATTACAGCCAGGAGAAAAGACAACTTCTCCCTTGTAAATTCTGCAAAAGTAATAGCTTCCCTCAGAGTGCTGAGAGCCAGGAGCCATAGGAACTCCTGGCACCTTGTTTTTCACAAAGACACTGAACGCAGTCGGTTCTTTAATGCCCTTTAGTGGAAGGAGAGCCTGGAAGGACAGCCATTCACCCAGTGCCGTGTAAGGAACATTAGAAGCCAGAGGCTGGCTGGGCTGGAAGAGTGGACTAATCCAAACCTACATAGCATTTCCTAGTCCCCAAGCTTGACAGCTGGGCAACAGGAGCTTGTTTATCACATACCAAAATGGAATATTTACTGTAGCTGTCTGGCATATCCTCCTGAAAGGGTGCTTCACACCACCACGTGAAAATGAGATGTGCATGAAACGAGGCAACAAACATGACCCCATTAGACTGTCTCAAGTCTAATGGATTAGTGTCATGTGGATACAGGTTGCTCCATGTTATCAATATTGCAGGAGAAAGCTGCAGAGAGAAATACTTAACTGAAAAGTGTGTTCTTACCAGAGAGCTTCTGTGCCCTTACGAAGACACTCCCGTTTCGACTCAGTTTCGACTTTGATTCTGAGCCAGAACGGCCCAAGTTAAATATCGACTTCCATTTCTTGGACTTGGTAGATAATTTTCTCCTGGAAGGAAAAAGGGCTCAGGAGGTTACCAAACCCTAGAGACTTTTGTCTTTTTAATATCCCACAAAAGCCTCTGAGCTCTCTCCCCTCAACACTGTCCCTCTTTTCTTCTCACACCTTTTTTAATTCTAAGGCATGCAAGGCATAGCTACACAACCAACTCTTGCTTTTCTGTAAGTGATTTATCTGTATTGCTGATTTAACCGTGTCATGGATGGAAAGACACTTAAGCCGACTCTTCAGAGAGTTGGCTCTGGCATCATGCTACAGCAACTGTGATTGACTGAGCGAACAACCATGCTTGTCTCCAGAAAGGAGGGGTTTCCGAGGCTAGAACTATCTTGCAATGCAGTCAAGAAAAATTGCCTTTTTAACAGGTTTTAATGACAGAATGCAAGATAAATTCCAGAGAATGTATGGAACTGGTATTATTGCTCAGTGCACAAAGCTATTCTTTAAAGTCCACGTCTTACAGTTTTTATGAATTTGCGAAAATAAAAGGATCCCTTAATACAAACTAGCTATTAATGCTTCTCAGGCCAACATTAATTTAATCAAAATTAAAGGTGTTATATGATCATATGCAAGTATAATGTACTACCCAAAAAGGAGGAGGCTTAAGGGAATTAAATAAAGTTCTCGTAACTGTCAGCGGAAGCGGGATACCGGTTCCCTGTGTCTCTTTGGAAATCCCAGCTTTAAACAGAAAGAAGCTGCTACTCCTGAAGCCAGTTTTCCTCTATGCATATTACTGCATGAAGCTCTGTTTCAGTTCCTTCACATACTCATTCTTGGCTCCTCCTTCAACCTCCCCTCTTCCAGAGCAAGAACCCTCTTATCTCCCTGTGTTGCTCTCCATAATAGGCTTTCTACCCCCATAGTTCTGTTTTTCTTTCAGATCAGTACTCAGAAGAGCACAAATCAGTCCTACAAAGAGAATTAATATCCTGGGGATAGGACTGTTCTCTTCAAGTGAGAAAGGAAAAAGCATTCAAGAGGGGCAATAAACCCTTTTGTGTTAAGCTCCTTATCCTCTTGCCAGTATTCTGTTAGATGGCTCCTTTTTGCTTTAATATATCAAGTGCAAATAAATATCTCTGCTCCGGTGCTTTATGGGTCGGTAGATTAATGAGCCTCCTCCTGCAGAGGCTATAATGTCTCAGAACCAGGCAGTAGAGTGGTGATATATTAACAGATAGATAAACCAATAGATAAATACTTATGCTGACCAGCACTGCCAACAACTGCAGCAACCTTAGCTGAAATCGGACTCTTGTCCTGGCCCAGGCCTATGTGGCAAAGGTGCCACTATGTAAATATTTCTCCATGCTAGGAGTGAAAATTCGCCTTACTGCCTGGCTATGAGTGCAGAGGAACCTGGAGAACACTGAAGCTGAGCAGGTCAATGCCACCAGGCATGCCGTGGACCAGCCACCAGCAGGTGGAACTCGTAGGAGAGCTGTGTCCAGACCTGCTCCACGTTCAGCCCACATTTAGCCAAATCCTGAGCTGACACAAGGATGCAAAGACAATGAATTCCTCCTGCAGGAGGCCTACAAGGTTCTGCCCCGATGGAGGGATGAGGACTAGTGGAGCTATGAACCCAGCAACTGCAATGCTTCTCAGGAGCAGCTGTGCCTCTTTTGAGAAAGGCACACAATTTTCTCTTGACGGTGGCTGTAGATTCATGTGTGCAGGTGCGGGGGTATCACGTTAACAGAAGTCTTATTCCCGATCATGCTGGGGAACCTGCACTTTCTTGTTTGCACTTTACACTGCTCTTGGCACTTACTTGCTGTCAGGGAGGTCAACAACTGTGTGGAAGAGGGACCCAGTTACAGGGACAATTTCAGGCAAGCTGTTCTCTCTTCTTTCCTTCCGAGCAGGGTGGGAGGCAGACAGACTCCGTGCCTGCGCTTCTTCCAGGCTCACCAGTTTCATCGGCAGGGAGGCCGAGGGGAGAGTCAGACTTTTCACAACTGATGCACTCTCTGAAAAGCAAGAAAATACATTCCCACCTGGGATGAGGAGAGGCAAGAGCAAGAGCTTCGTGTCTTTATTTGACTGGAACATCTGCAGAGGGGGGAAAGGAGCAGCACGTGCAGGGAGAGAGGCTTTTTGTCAGATAAGTCTTCCATCTCCCCAGCAACCTTATCCATCTGAGTGCATTCCCAGCAGGGGCCACACTCACCAGCCAAAGACTGCGTTGCACAGACTTGCTGCCTCTGCTGTAGATGCTTTGGTGTGAAAGAGGCATCTCTGAAAACCACCAGTATTCACACATTCCCCTTTCTCCTCCCTCCCTCCCTCCCTCCCTCCCCAGATTTTGGAGCAGTTCAGTCCCCGATCCAAACCTGGTGCCTAATTCTTTCTCCCCCCATCTTTCTCCTTGTCTTGTTCCAGGAAGGGGGACTGTTCTAAAAATCAGCATTACCTTACCTTCCTAATGCATTTCAGGGCTATGGAAAGGAGTGTGACCAACAGCCCTGGAAACTGAAGGTCTCTCTTCACATTGGCAGTGGCACATGCCACCCCACCAACAGCCCTGTCCTAAACAGACCTCCTCAATGTGCATGAAGGAAGCACAGTTTGTGTAGTCCATTAGGTACTTAGCCCTTCTGCTGAAGCAGGGTGCAAACTCCTGCCCGTGCAGAGGGGCTGGGTGAAGGAGCATTTTCCCACTAAGAAATCAACTGGGACCATCAGCATGTTCCTCTCCTGACTCCACACAGCTGTTAAAGGCCAGCAGTGTTCAGCACTTACAAAACTTGGGTCAGTTTTGGGCCAATGACCTGCAGTACAACCAGAAGCCTTGGAATTTACTAGTCAGTGTTTTGCTGCAATGCTTAAGGCAGTATGAGAGCCGTTTCTTACTCCGTGCCTTCTGCCAGAGCATGGACAAGGGCATAGGAATGGCACCCGCACTGGCAGAGCAGGGATGCTATAGGTCGAGCAGGGCACTGCACTGGAACTGCAGGCTCCAAGGACAGACTAGCAGGGAATGCCACATGTTAAGGGAAAGGTGGATGGGACAAGCTGACACAGGGCTGGAAATCAGAAAGGTTACTCCCTCACTTCTGCAGGTATTATGAGTCTTCCCCGTGTGTAAAACAGAACAATGCATATTTCTGAAATTATATGAGGTCACTGTGGATCCAAGCCCTCTCAATTCCCAGGCTTAAAAGCATTTTGACTAAATAACAAAAATCAGCATCTCCCAAGATTGTTGATGTCCCAGGAAAAAAAATCTCTTTTTATAAAATGTCCCTAAGTACAAAACATAAGTTTATAGAACACATGCTTAAGTTTTATCTTGGGAGTGTGGCCTCTGACTTGGGTGGATATGGTGGCTGCAGGGCAGGTATCATCGGCATGAGGAATTATAACTGGGGGAGCCTGAGAAAAGAATTGAGGCTGTGGCTGATGGGCTTAAAGAGAAAGCTTAGGCCAGGATTGAGAAGCAATCAGGTGGTCTTCCTTTTGCGGAAAGGGTTAAGCCAAGTGAGATCATGCAAAAGATGAACCATAGGGCAGCCTGGGAGCACACTGAAGCAGGCTAGTATTCAAAAAGGAAATGTTGGATATGGGGATGAAGAGGACAAGAGTAATGAGGGATTGGGCTCAAGGTGTGTTTAGGGGAGTCTGGGAGCATGGTAAGGGTTCACGTGCTTCAAATATTAGTGGAAGGGGATACAGTTAGAGCTGGAGTACATGGCAAGTAACACGTAGAGTGGTTCAGGGAGGTTGTTACCAATATTATCCGCACAGCTGGCTTTTCTGTTGTTGTTGAAGATCTGATCCACGTGATTCAGGATGAACTCGATCACCAGCTGCTGCACTCGCACCTCCAGGAAAGCTGCATCCCCATTGCAGCCAACTGCCTCAATCTCCTTTGACCTGCACGAGGAAAGAAGTATACTAGTAGCCAGCATTGCCACACACAGCCCCCGGGAAGGAGAGATCAGCTTTCTTCCTGCAAGGCTTGGAACAGGGATGTTTTCCCCACTCTTGCTGCACCTCTTGCTCTCCTTCCCTCACAGGCCTTCATCCTCTCTGCCTTTTCACTCTTTTAAAAATTATTTTCCCTGTTTTCTCTGTCACCTCTGCTGCTTTCTTTCCTGCCTGTGTTATTCTCCCTACTTCGCTTTTCCATTCTTCAGCAATAGTTAAAACTGTGACTCTCAAACTCCGTGCTCCACTTTTAGCTATTTTGAAGTTGGGCCTCAAAGACAATGCAGGAGCCTTCAAACACTGCTTCCAGATCCCTACTCAATGCTTCAATCATCTCTCAATGAAATCCCTTAGAACCCTGCTCAGGTCTTCCCCACACCAATTTTTTTCAGTGCTTTGCCATGTGCCCCAGTAGTCTCTTCTCTGCCCCCCTGCACTCCCACATTCTCACTCTTGCTCTCAGCAAAGAAACATTCCTTATCTTGACATGCCAAAGTGTTGCTGAAGAAATTATCTCTGGACAATGGATCCTTTGTAAAGTTAATGACTGGTGTGTTAGATAATAGCTTGGGGCATTGCCAAGAGGATAACCCTGTAAGGAGACTGCAGTTGCAGTGCTTGCTCCTTTCTTTTCCTCCCTGGGACTTGCGCATAAGAAAGATTGCAAAAGGAAACAGATTTCAGGTTCTCTGACAAGGACAGATGCTAGAATGAAAATGTCTCAGTAGTAAAGGTCCACTTTGTGATATTCAATAGAGTCAACATTTGATTCATTTTGAGAACCTGCTCTGCCTGTTTTGTGATTTAAAAGGGTGAGATAACTCTTTAGAGAATGCTTTTCAGGCCTGTACCTCTCTAGCCAATGTCCCTCCCTCCTGTCCTCTGCCAGCCCAGGGTTCCCCGCACCAGCTCTGCCAGCACCCCTCTCCTGCCCAGCTGCAGTCCTGGACTCTCCCTGCATAGTTCATTCCTCTCAATATATGGGTATGAGATGGACGGGGAAGGGAATTTCAACAAAATACAAAATATTTCCTTTTTTTTTTTTCCAGATGCTATTTTTTCTTGTTCTGCTTAGCTCTACAAAGTATCAGCCAAACCTCTGCCTGCATCTTTTCTGGGCCTCTTCCCAGCAGAGTGCCCGGCATAGCAAACATGACAAACTAGCTGGTGGTCTTGAGATCTGACACTAGCCACCATCTTAAACCCACCAAGCTCATCTCACTTATGCTCAAGCAAATCTAGGCACAGGCCTGTAGCCCTGTTGCCCTCCCCTCCAAGCCTTGCTGTCTCTTACCGCCCCACTGCAGAAGCACTGGCACTGTCAGAAATGTCATTTCATTTCCACAGTGATGAGCTAACTCCTCATTTTTAAATCAATGTGCTCAACTTGCAAATAACAGCTTTTTTTTATAAGAAACACACAAAACCACAAGCTTTCTTGGATGCTGGCAGTAAGACCTCAGATTATTCAACCTGGAAGAATTTTTTCTCCTTTTAAAAGCTGTTTGCTCTGTTCTACTCTTCCCTTTAGTTGTTCTGCTTTTCCCTGTTCTTGCATTTCCCTCAAGGGATGGGTCTCCAGGCTCAGGTGCTGGCGCTCCCCTTGGAGGTCAGCATTGGTCTCTGGATTAGAGGACTCTCTACTGTACCTGAGGAGATTGGGAGCCCACACCAAGGCCAGGTTTCTGGTGTGCATGTTGGTCATGTTGCTGAAGGAGGCCAGGTGAGTCAGGTGCTTGATCAGGTATTCCAGCGTTCTGCAGTAGTTTCATACGAAGAGAGAAAAAAGTGTCAAGTGGCCGATGCCCACCCACTGGGACAGCAAGGCTCGGACTCAGCCCTGGCCTCGGAGTTGTCTCATGCTCAAGGAAGGCACTGTCTGCAATGGCACAACAGGCCTCATAGGACAGAGGGTTTACAGCACCAGCATTTACATGGGATGGCAGTGAACACCTGAACAACTGTGTTCTGGGGTGGTCAAGGACGAGGCAGGAACCAAACAATCCTTAGCACGATGGGTGCGAGGAAGACGGCAGATGGATGGGAGGAGTGGGATGCTGCAAAGGCTGAGGGCTTAGTTCTTGCTCAAGTGCCTCTAGCAGATCATCTTCTCCTCACTACACCCAGGACCCTGGCCAAGGGTGCCACGGGGGTCGTACCCAGGGAAGGAGGATGATAGACTGCAGCAGGGAGAGCTTGTTCGATCTCTAACAACAGTTTGTTCAATGATATTTAAATGCCAGATAAATTGTTGTCAGATTTGGAAATGGTGAGTCAGCTTTTGGGAATTAACTTCTGGAAATGAACTCCAGCGCTGTTTCAGGCAATATTCCCTGATGGTGAGGGTCACCACACTGTTCCTCAGAACCTCGCTGGACACCTTCTCACCTGTAATGCGATGGGGGGAGCTCCTGGATGACATTTTGAATTCGTGCCAACTGCTCGTCCTCGGGGAAGCGTGATACTGCTTCCTGCAGAGATACAAGGAAACAGTCCACCCTGGCAACGGACTCAGGGGAAAAGGAAGAGGGATAAGGAGGGTCACGTAAGAGACAGCCTGCCTCAGAGGGGATGCTCTCTTGTTACCTTACAGAGCTATTGGTTAGAAGAAGTTGCTTTGTGTTCCCAGCACAGCAGAGATTTGCTGCGCTGTTAGTTTATGTCTCAGTACATCCTTCCCACACGTTGGGACAGGGTGGTCAATGTTTTGGGGAGAGGGGCGTTTAAGGACTGAGAGTTTCAATTAGGAGTTATGTTTCTTTTCTTCTTTTGTTCTTTTTCTCTTTTTAACTTGTGCAGTGATGGGTGGAATAGAAAGAGAGGGAAAGATAAAACTGAAAATAATTAAAAAAAAAAAAAAGTGACAACCCTCCCCCCTGAAATTGTGTTAAAAATAAAATAGAGCTTTCAAGTCCTGTGTTATGAAAACAGCTAGGATATACATGTTTCATATTCATCAAAATAAGCAATATTTTTGGCTGTCATATGAACATAGCTACAGGGAGTAGTTTGTGTGAGTTTGCATCTTTTATGATGGGAGAAGCCTTAGCAAAATCACTGTCCAGGTAAATTAATAAATTCTTATACTCAGGGTTAGACTAGGTTAGACAGAATCAAGGTTATACATCTTGGTCTTTAGCAAGAGCTTAGAGAGCCACGATAAGCTTTTGCCTGCATTGCTAGGAGTTTACTGCATTAGTATTCATCTGTTCAGCTATTCCCTTTCAATACCTGTGCTGGGGGAGGACAAACCACCAGCGAGTTCAAACAACGCATGACTGTCTGGAAGCCTCCTGCCTACCCTACTGCCACTGGAGTTTGGAGTGAGTTCAAAGAAAGATGCTGGGACCCACGCTGCCAGGAGAAGCTTTGCCTACAGACATACATCAGCACTGCTAGGAAAGGAAAGGAAGGAAATAACCTGTCCCAAACCACCCATCGCTTAAACATTATGAACCTGAAATTACCAGCCACAACTAGAGAATCATCTTCTTGTAGCAGTCACTACAACATCCACACTGATGCTGCTGCCATCTCTGTTCTGGTCACTGTCCTTTTCCCAGCAGACCACTTCTCATGTACAACCACCAGCAAACCAAACATTGCCAGTTTCAAGGCCAGAGATTAATATGAATCATGTTTTATTCCCTAACACTGGGAACTGAGATCTATGCCCTCTAGTTTGAACTTACGCACTGGTGTGATGGCAAAAAAACCCAAGTGAGCTCACTAGTTTGGTATACATGAGATGCAGATGCACTTGTTTTGCCCAAATGAAAGGTAGGTTAACTCCTTCTAGTACTTTTTACCCATAACTACAGTTCCTTTTTTTTTTTAAAAAAAAAAAGCCTATTACCATTTGCCCAGAAATCCTAAGTATAAGAACTCTGTGATCTTCATACAAGGTTTCCAGTTGAATGGCCTTGTCCAAAGACGAAGAAGGAGAGAAATACAAACTTTAACTGGTGCATCTAAAACACTACATTTCAGCTAGATGGTACACAGTATTTTGTCCCCCAGTGCTGTTTTTCATTCCCATATTTACCTTCCAGGTCTCAAAGACCTAATGCTTAGCAAGTGAATACCAGCTTCTGTGAGATCATGACCCATTCAAACCTCCAAATCACATTTCTGACACATACGTGTAGTGCTTTTGAAATCTGAGGCCCCCTCCAAAACTCAGGATTACAGCAGCAGAATACAGAATTAAAGGAAGAACCAATAACTCCATTTATTACATGTCTGTTAATCATGGTATGAATTCATGTCATTTAGGATTTTTTTTACTCCACTGGTGATTCTGGGAGCGCAAAATTCACAAGCCGTGGTTAACAAGTGGAATAGAGCCCGGAGAGAGAAGGTAGGCGTGGCCCCCTACGGCTAGTTTGCTCTGAGGGAGTACTCGGTCCCTCTATGCCCAGGCTAGAACAAGCCAAGCAGAGTCAACTTATCTATCCTGTGAAACAAGCATCCGTCACCAGAATACAAGACGGTAAATTGGAGAGCATGAGAGGGCATCATTTTGCAAAAGTTGATAGCCAATGAGGTCATGAGTGGGATATTATATCCGTGAACTTGACATGGTGATGACCAAAAGGCCAACCCCTCCCTAGTCATTAAGAATTTGACTTTCCTTAGCCACAAATATCTGAATCACTCTAGTGACGCACAGTGGAGCCTATCCCATCTCAGAGACAGCTCCGACTGAGTCAGGCTGGGATTAGCATGCATCCTTTACTCCTACCAGCGCTCTTCTGCCGAGGTACAGCTGCCACCATTCCCTGTCCAGACACCCCATGCATACACATGCTCCTAGTGGTTTTTCTGCTCCTTGGGGAATTGGACTTTTTTCTTTCTTTCCTCCTGGTATCTGACTGTGCTTCCTGTCAGCTGGGTTACCCATTATAAAACCCTACTGAGTAGACTTACGTGAATAATGGATTTTGTGTCTCAGCGGACAAACTAAAAAGCCGGAGATTAAAAAAAAATCCCTTTTAGGTCAATCCAAAGTGATAACATTTTGGGGAGCTGGCACAAGATTTTAAAAAACAGTTGTTTGAGGTTGACCAAAGCATCACACTCAACCAAAAGTGAAAGAAATTATCATTTAAATTTGGGGCTGTTTAACCCTTTTCTAAAAGATGTTTTATTTATGAGTTTGATGTGTTGATTTAATGTTGAAACATTTCCTTTAGAAAGTATTTGTAAAAGAAACATTTAGACAGTTACAGAGGTGTTTTCCCTTTTGTTTTTGAATAAAACTATTTACAAAATGTATCTAACGAAAATCTGCAAGTCGTCATCCCAAAACTGCACTTTTCAGCAAACATTCTTTCCTAAAAAATGTTTCCATCTAAATCTTCATGTTTCCTTTAGAGAATTTTTCTTTCATAAATCAGTACTGATAGCCAGAAAGACACCAGCCAAAGAGCTTCAACAAGAATGAGACTCATCAGTTGAGTGAATGGTTGAATAATACCCTATATTTTCAAGGTCCTATTCATCCTGTCTGTCTCTGGTTTAGAGATCCTACCCTATATCCTCAGGATGCCTATATCCTGAGGATATAGGTCAATTTTTCAGATCTGCTCAGAATTTTGACTGAAGTTTTGACTATACATCACCTTGAAACACAGACCAATGTTACTTAAAATTTGGCATCGAAACAGCAAGATACCTAACACTATTGCATATCTGTCAGGCAGCACAGCGAGCCAATTCCCACCTCGTGTTCCCCACCTCAGCTGTAGTCCCTAACAGCTACCTGACTTCTTATATCAGGTTACTGCTTGGCTGATGCTGTCTGGCTTTGCCCTACAGCAAGCCCCCTGGCACAGGTGTGCCTGCCTCTTCCCACAGTGGGCAACAGGGAGTCTTTGGAGAACATCTTCTTCTTGTGTGGACCCTGCAGGTCTCTCTCAGTGCCTCCTGTGCCATAGCGGTGCCACTTGGAAGTGCTTGATTCAGGACAGAGGCAATGCAGACAGCAACACCTGAAGCTGAGGCTGCTTGTCACTTCCCATTTCATTTGGACATGATTTTGCAACACTCTTCTCTGCAACTGACATTTTTGGCGATGTCTGTACCCTCACCCTGCCAGCACACGGTA